AGACTCGTGAATTGATTTCATCTATCACACTACTTTTAGAACTTAACAAACTTCCAAGATGCCACACTGCTTGACAACATTTAATACCTCTCCTTGGGTTGTAAGTTGTGTATTCAGTGACTGTATGTACACAAGCATGACCTCACACTTTGTGGTTGCAAAGCGCATGCCTAAAGACTTAAGTCAACTCATCCAAATACACTTGTGCCTGGTAGATGAATTTTTCGCCAGGAGCTATTAGAACATCATAGCCCTGATAATTTTTCAGCATTCCCCTTATTATCTTTCCCGAAGCCCTCACACTCTCGTGCCGGTTGGAATTTTGTGCTGAATTAATCCTAAACTGGTTCTTTAAATTTCAACCATGCCAGAAGGGCAATCAGGAAATGGCCCCGCAAACAACAGCAAGTCTTCGTTCTACAATAAATCTTGTAATGCGTCACCCTGGAGGTCAACTCGTACTACCATCTTTGACAGGAGTGTGAACGCTGCAAGGTGATTCCTTCAGGCGACCAAGAAGTTAATATTTACGGAAGTAGCGACGCTGCCTTCTTGTTAGGAAGGACGGGCTAGAAGGAGTCGGCCGTAAAACGACATACCCTAATCGCTCCACGTTTGACCGGTGTGTGATTCAATTTGGCTGAAATGCTCAAAGCGTACTTACATTAGGAGTGAGACATTCATGCGTCAATCCCCTCGTCCTTGAATCACGCCGGCAACCTGCAGCCAAGGGGGTCAGATTAATAAATCATTGGCTTTGAGGTGGTCTCTCAAGGAAACCTTGACAACCACTGTTTGGCAATTCAGACTTTTGAGTTAGAGGCTAGGAAAGTTCCCCAAACAGACTTGTACGTCTCCACTATTTTCTGGATTAGACTTCTGAGTAGTCTTAAGTTGAAATACCTCAACCACAGCCCGTTCTTTGGGCTGGGCAATCATCATCATCATCATCATCGTCCTCAAGGATCTCAACATCAGTTTTGATACTGATGCTTCACTGCCGTACAACCATAAGGTTCGTCTAATTGTATTTAAAACCCTAGAGTGAAAAGAAGAGAAAAAGACTAGGTGGCCCATGTCAGGCATTCTGAGGTGCCTACAACTCCAAGAACACAATCAGACTATCTGGAAATAAACTACAGCACGAGTGCCACTGACAACGATTAGCCGCCATTCCTTGCAGTGTCTCCAGCCAAGCACATGCAGGTCCCCATTTTGAAGGGTGTACAGCAACACCCAAACGCTTCGTGATATCTTTCACACCTTTCTGCCAAGTCATGCGCTGTCTACCTCGCGGTTCGTGCCATTCTGAAGGAGGCACGGAGAACAGCACTTGGTAGACGGTACTTCGGAATGTGTACCACACGGCTGAGCCATCATAGTCGGTGGTGCTGGATGTTTTCTCCCTTTGAAGTATCTTCCGCACAAGCAAATACCCGTTTTTTAATCACCTCGTTACTAACATGCTGAGACCATCCAAAACCAGCAACGCTTCTGAGGCGTCGGTGGTAAAAAATACCTGAAGACCATTCACATCACCTGTCTGCAGAGGCCGTCTCGCACCCATACAGCAACACAGCTCCTACTGTAGCCTGGTACACACAGACCTTAATACCTGGTGAGGTGCCATTTTGACGCCACAAGTGACGCAAATTAGCAAACGTGATTCAAGCCTTTGAGGTTCTTGCACTGACTTCATCAGACACATTTCCAGCGGAGCTACTACAGCTTCTATCTGGATTGCCTAAGTGAGTGTCTGGAGGTATAGGCACCTCGGAATGCTTGTGGTAAGCTAGCACCATGTCCCTTCCCCGTCCACCTTTACTCTTTTTTTACAATAAGGCTTTCAAATAAATCATGTTTGTACGGCAGTGAAGCATCGGTGTTGAACACTGATGTCATGCTGTCGATGATGATGATAATACAACTACCGAGGTATGTAACGATGTTCTCAATCTTGAGTTATTCTTCTTGAATTGTAAGTTTTTTTTCGTAGGCTTAACGTTCTGAAGCACGACTTTGCACTTTGAGTGTGCAAGGCGCATGCCAAAAGATAGTATGACGGTATCGTATGACAGGGCTTGTGCTTCGTTTTGGTCCTTAAAGATGAGGACGATGTCATCTGCGTAGTCCAGATCGACAAGGCTCTCACATGAACACTGAGGGTTCGAAGACTTTCCAGCGTTCGACTCATTATTTCATCAGTGATGAAGTCGAACCAGAATAGAGAGAGTGAACACCAATTTTTGTGGGGAAGCTCTTGGAGAACTCATCATACACACACGCCCGGTAGTATGTCAATATGGGGATCGGATCATGTCCACAAACTTCTGGGGCATGCCGTGTTGAGCAAGTGCAATGAACAGCAATGACCAATCTAAGGCATTGGTCGCACACTTGAAGTCAAGGAATAGGAAGATTATGCCGTCTTTAAATATGGCGTTGCTCTTACCTGACGGAGCGGGAAGATGTGGTCAACGCACCCTCTGCCCGGTCGAAATCCCACCTGAGTCTCACCCGGGCTACCAATATTTGAATCTCATCAGTCAAGGTTTCGCGTGCTACCGTAGGACGACGAAGAATCAGTGACGCCAGAAGCCCTATCACAACAGAAGGCAAGCTGACACCTTTTTGGTTACTATATGCAGTGTGATTACCCTTTTTAAAAATAGCCACTATTATCGATCCACACAGTTTTCTGGGACGGTCTCTTTCTCCCAGGTAGGCCCCAATGGGATAGACAGTCACTGCCTGAGAAGTTCATCGCCATCCTTGAAAAGAGCAGGTGGAAGATCGTCAGGACCAACAACACGATGACGTTTGATTAGAGAAATACATTCGGACACTTCTGAGACTGGAGCCGGCTCCGTATGTACGATCCACCTTTCTGTCGAAGGTCAGGATTCTGGATTGGAGGTAGCAGGTGGCCTGCTGAATTGCTGTTCGAAGACTGCCCAGCGGTCCAAACGTTCTGCTTTGTTACATATCAGTGAATCATTTTGGTCTCTGATTGGTCCGTTGACAAGAGGTTTCCGAAGACCAGTCGAACGAATCAAGTGGAACAGCTGGCGGACGTTTCCAACATTCTTTGCATCTTCCATTTCTTCGGCCTTTTGGGTCCACAAAGCTTCTTGGTAGGCACGGATACTCAGTTTCACCGTGCGTAGGATGATGCGTCAGGTGGAGTTGTGGTTGTGGAGGAATCTGTCGCCGGATCTTCATCAAGTTACGGTGCCCTCCCAGATCCAATGCTTGGATGAGGTTGGCTGGATTGTACCCCAAACACGTTCCGGCTTTGAGTAGCGCTCGGGATGTTTTCCCAGTGGCCGTTTATATCCGACATCGAACCATCCGGCGGGCGTTCGTGAAGCTGGTTTTGATAGTTTCGTTGGACTTATGGGTCTGCTAGCTTCTCCGTGGCCAAGCGAGTAGTGCGCGTTTTGCGTAAACCTGAAAACCGCAATGAAAAGCAGCAGTGTACAAGTGCATGGTCGGAGTCCACGCTGGTGCTCCAGAAAGAGCGGCAGGCAGTGATCGACCCTCGCCACCGATAACTGACGGCGATGTAGTCTATGTGGATTTTTGGCTGGTTTGTTAGTGGTCACCAAGTTGTCAAGCGATTTCCGTTGTTCAGAAGATTCGTTCTGCAAAGGGATATTCTATGATCGGCACACATCTGAAATAAGCGGTCTCCGTTGTCTGTGCGTCTCGTGTACAATCCAAGACGACCTCCCAATCGGGCCTCAGCAGCGCTTAGTCTACCCACTTAGGCGTTCATGTTACCACCAACCACAAGGATATATGAGCTCTTAGCCCGACGTAGAAGGGCACCTAGAGCATCGTAGATGCTGTCTTTGGCATATTCGGAGCTACATTCAGCTGGACGTAAGCAGACACAATAAGCAAGATGTGATGGACCTCTTTTCCTCTGGATTCTATCCAAACGAACCGCACAGATGCTATTATCAACGGGTATCCGATCTAATAGAAACGTTTCCGCTTCCCCAGCATACCTAGCTGCAGCGGCCTATACATCACCAGAGTTGCCCAGCAGGGACCTGAAAGAGAGCGAGGAGGCTGTCAGTTCGATCACAGTACTTGCGTCCTTGTTTCTGACAAACAAGATACATCACTGCAGATGGAATCCGGCGTACGATCAAGAGCCACCTGTTGACCTACTTGCTTCGGTGAGCGAACATTGAAGGTGGCTAAGTAGACAGACTTTCGGTGTTTTAAAACAGACTTCGATGTGTTTAAGGTTGTTACTGAACTCGGACGTACAGAAGCTACAGCTGCGTGTGATGCAGGGCGAGCAAAACGGCCAGTCCTAGTGCTGGGACCTGTGGAGAAAGTATTCAAATTTGGGTGGGGGAGAGTGGAAGATGGAAAACTTGAAAGGTAAGAAGGGGGGCGCCAACAGTAGCATGTTTTCACTTAACGGCCCTGCTGTATGTGGCAAGTAAGGCGACCCAGCTGGTGACACCACGCGACGGCCGATGTGGCGTGAGAGTATTGTTAGTTTTTAATTTCATGGTTGTACGTGGGCCCGGATATTTCCAGGGCGCCCACACCTGGACAAGAAAACGATTAGTGTCCTCAACCAAATCCTTTGTCTCAAAAGCCTAACCGCGATGCAGCGTTGTTTGGCCGGGAAATGCAAATGCATTACCATTCCTACGAAACACTTCGCCACACATGTTCCAACCCTCAACCAAGTAGGTAATGTTTCCATTCGCACACGGCTTAGACAATGGCCCACGCATGTTTTTCAACAGCAGAGTGCTGTTTTTCGCTGGAAGGTAGTGTCCATGAGAAGAATGCAACCGATCTGCCATCTTGTTTGCGTGTAGCCGAAATAGAAACTTCTATTGCATCAGTTTCGAGTATCAGAGGTTTTCTCGGATCGACAGTGACCTCAGCTGCATCCAACCGAATAGCAGCATGCGAATTGTTCTCCCAAGTGCTGGACGTAGCGGCCGAAGTATCCTTCTTTATGTAAGATGACCACTAAAAAGCCTAAACGCGAGGCGGCGTTGTTTGGCCGGGAAATGTAAATGCATTACCATTCCTACTGAACACTTCGCCACACATGTTCCAACCCTCAACCAAGTAGGTATTGTTTCCATTCGCACACGGCTTAGACAATGGCCCACGCATGTTTTTCAACAGCAGAGTGCTGTTTTTCGCTGGAAGGTAGTGTCCATGAGAAGAATGCAACCGATCTGCCATCTTGTTTGCGTGTAGCCGAAATAGAAACTTCTATTGCATCAGTTTCGAGTATCAGAGGTTTTCTCGGATCGACAGTGACCTCAGCTGCATCCAACCGAATAGCAGCATGCGAATTGTTCTCCCAAGTACTGGGCATAGCGGCCGAAGTATCCTTCTTTATGTAAGATGACCATACCAGTTTTATCCTAGATGGTCCCGTTTATCTGCTGCCTCCGGGGTCTGCTTCTTTAGATCGACCGAAGTAATCTTTGGGTATTTCTGTTGCACTTTTGAAGACCATTGGTCTGGATATACTGGTACCACAGTAGCAACTTCTAGTATATTCTTCACTAGTTGGTAATGTCTATTTTTGTTTCATTTTCAGGAGTCCAAATGACTTGATCTTGACGTTGGCTTATTCTCACATATTTTTCTCCATTACCGCAATGGAACCCTCGAAGTCGTCCTCACCACTGGGTCAGGCACCGCCAACCGCTACGCCCTCTTCCATGACCACTCACTTAGTGAATACAAACTTGCACAAATACCCCACACCACCAGTGAACTCGTCTGGACGAACTAAACAGGAGCTCGTAGGTTCACTTTCGTACAGCCGGTTCTCTGTTGCAGTTTACTGGTGGTGCATCTGTTGCTATCATGCTTTTTCTGTAGCTACTTGCTTAGGTCAGGAGAATGTCGTCGATAGTTGTCTAAGATGTTAAAGTTCTAATAATTTCATGGCATTAATTCTATCCTATTTGCTCCCACTAACTCCGACAGTCTGTCACATGAAAAGCGTAGTTGCTCACACTAGGACTTGAACTTTCAGGATATTTCGACCTTTGAATTTGCGGGGGCACGTGCGCATGCGGTTTGGTCACACTTGCTGGATTCAACTGTCCTTATGGACGTAAACGACGTGACGTTCTTTATTCGCGCTCCGCTCTTCATTTCTTTTTACACTACCCTATTCCAATTCATCGTTCAAAAATATCTGGAGTATTCTGTTGATCTAGCCGGCGTTTTAAAGGAAGCACGCACGTGTGATACGTGGATTCCGGGTGTGCTCGTTATAATTGACTTTTATTGTGTCTTTGTCTTTCCAAGTTTAGCACTGTAGGGCGTAGTCAGAAGTGCGTTGTTCATATATGGTCCTGAAAGTCATGATATACTTGACACCTCCATCTCCTTGATTCATCCTATCCATGTATTGGAAGCAAAAAAAACCCACAAGCTCATTTTTTCGAAGGCTCATAATTTGTATGATCCATTGTATGACAAGCTGCTTGTTTGCTACATATTGATAGTCTGATCGTTTCCCCTAGCCGGTCATCATTCACCACAAAAGGCTTCATACTTTTCAAGTCATTGTATCTGAATCAACTGTATGCTGATACAGCTCTACCGGATTCAACAACTCTAGTCAGTTGAAGTTTCCTCCCTTCTCAGGGCTTATCACCTACGCGATTACATAATGCTCATCCTTTATTTACTGGAACCTTAAACACACAACGATTTGAGTTGATTGACTTTAATCAGCCATTTCATGGGATTCTCTATGGGGTGAATATTCGAGCGAAGACTCTCAAATTTCCCGATTCCTTCATAGGATCATAGGCGGATAAGCTGATGAGGTTAGTTTCTCCATGTGATAACCTGGGTCGATTAGTTCAATAGTGTTCATTATCGGCACAAGAGAGGTCCACGGCCGCATCGTTTTGAGGCAGAGTATAAAATTCGGACAGTAAATTAGAGCTTTTACTCTGCCATATAAGCCTATGGGCCAAAAGTAGCGTAAAACGCGAAGCAGATTTCACTATGATATTCTTGTGCATGATATTGTGAAGGGGCACGTGCTACGTCTTTTCGTGTGTCGTGCAGCAGAACATTTTTGTTGTCTGGTTCTGAGAAAGGCACATCGCTGTCCACGATGCTCGTAAAATCGCTGCTTTGTACCTTGAAATCCTGGATCTGGCTCCTGCTGGCTACGTTGCGGTTTTATTCCTGTGTTACATCGTGGATTCTTGGGGTGCTGTTGCATGTCGACCTCTGGCGCAACGGAACTTCTCTAGCGAATGACTGTTTTGACCACCACACCCTCGTAGGTGGCCTCAGATTATCAGTTCTATGCGCTGAATTAACCAAAATATGAAACATAACGAGCTATATGCACAGCACAATCGATTGAAGACCCTGTCCACTACATAGAGCAATATCTGGTTCGGGCAAATTGGTCCCCACGATTTGACTTCCTAAGAAAATCGGGTTGCTACTGATGATTAATGCACGCAGTCCACAGCCGAACTCCCTTACATCATATGGCACTCGGTCCAGTCATACCGAATAACGGTCGGTTAACAACAGGTTCAGAAGTGAGTGATAATGAAACCGAGCGAAACGAGACATACGTGTGTGCGTGTGCTTGGGGACATGGTGGTATTTGTCGATACTCTGGAACGCACTCACGTAGAGCTACAAAACAAATCTACAGTAAACAGAACTTGGTTAGGATGTTTAACATGAGTCCACATACGTACAGATCATTTCGATTGGATTTGGTCACGTAGTACTCAGTCCAGCCTGAGTTAGTTGCCAACTTTGTACTGGACCAAGTAGTTAGAGCGCGAATTTACTGACCGGAAGGTCCGTGGTTCGAACCCGACCTCTGCCTCTCGACTTCCCCTGTCTAGGCTTGGGCAACCTGGCAGTATCCCAGCCCTCGTGCTTCCTTCGTGTGGCATGACAGCTAGGCACCGAAAGGGTGCTACAGCTGAAAGATTTATTTTTTTACTCTGTGCCGGAAGACCCGTATCAACCCCGATGCCTTTTCAGTCCATAAATGCTATGCAAGCCAAAGTAAACTTAAGCACTAGGTTGCTCTCAGGTGAACAGGAGCTATATAAAAGCCAGTGTGGATGCGAACAACGGTCCTGTAGGTCAACAGGGATTTCACTTTGACCTACTAGGCGTATGCACAGCACCCATGTACGTTGTGTGAATCACTCACGCCGAGCTGTACAATTTACTGCATTAGTTCGATTCCGCCGTGATAGCTTCACAAAGTACCTCGGTTGACTGTGATGCCGCTGAAATCGGTTTCCTATTTCTGTTGGTAACCATCGGTTTTTTTGGACCCGGGTAACTAAACTAAATGCGATGTAGGACCGCCTGAGATCCCAGATGAACAACAAATAAACTTCCTATCTAACACGCAAAATTTCTATTTCATTCAGAGTGTAATCACAAACATGTATAGTGAATTGGTTTTCTATTGCTAACCGAGAGAGTAGAACTTGTACTGCAATAAAGAACTATCTTGCTCTGAGAAGTTAAGTGGCAACTACATAGTGTTCGAGAACTCGATGTACAGTTAGTAGTAACGTACGGAGCTCATGCAAACTTCCTGGTATAATATCATCTTGCAGGCCGAGGTGGATAGGAACGGTTCAATTGCTTAGTCTGAGTAGCTTGTTATCCATCCTACAGTCACTTAACTATACCTTTGATTCCCGAATCGTCCGATCGGTTTCAGAAGATTTTTTGTTGTGTTCCACCTTAGTGAAGGTCTAACAACTGGGTGTGCGGACAGAGCGATTACGCAACTCTTTTAGCTCATATTAGCCCGAGGTTAAAGTGCACACTGTTGACCGAAACTTCCGTGGTTGTAACCTATCCACAGCTTCTGGATTCGTCCAGCATAGGTTTAGGTAACCCGGAAGTATTCGTCCCGTCCTGTGTTCCGTTCATTTTTCCCGGCTTTTAGGTATCGCGATATTGACGCAACCGAATCGTTGCTTTTAATTTTTGAACAGCTTAATTGCTACCCCACACAGCTGCTACACGCATTTATTCATCCAATTAATTTAATTTGTCATCGCGCTGTGTACTATGCTGTTATGATATGGCTCTGGCACATTGTTTTAGCCCTTTCTCCTACCCTATCGATTCATTGCTCACAGATCGTTGTGACCACGGCGGAGGGGTCACATACGAAACCTCCGTCAAAGAAGACAAAATCCAGCTTCCGCCTCCCTGGGACCAAAAAACGTCGAAAAGACAAAAAGTTAGCCAATCCGGAACTCGACTCCGCACTGCCACCAACTGGCGACCATCCAGTCGCTGTTGTGGGTAGGCGTGATCCGAGCCCAAATGCATCTGCTCCTGAAAAGACACGCACCTCGGAGAAAATGGCGAAAAAACAGTCAGTTGGGCTCGGAACTCCTGACGATGAACCACGCAAGTCACATCGAAAGAGCAAACGAGGCTCCAAGCTATCCGCGAGTAAAACTTACACCAAACATTCATTTGTTCCTGAAACGGTAAGTTCATTGTTTTACGTTTATTGTTCTACATTTATTTTATCTAACTGCTGGCAATGTGGTACCCACATGGACGAAATCGCAATGGTTATTTTCACCATCTTGACTCACATTGTTACATGGTATTCCGAGGTAGAAGTCAAGTCAATCAGCCTTTTCAATTCCTCTTAAACATTCACATCAGGTGTTGGAAAACCGACCATGAAACTCCTATTTTTATGACGATTGAAATAGTGGGCTAATTTGGCGTAGGCGGCTTGACTTTACCAGCTTGCCATTCTCGTCCTGCCCACAATGACTGACTCATCGGCTGTTCGTATGTTTTAAGTATCTGGTTGATGTTGGTGATTGTACATCGCCCAATATGTCCCATTGTGTTTGCCGTGTCTGGTACGTTACGGATTAAACAAATGGATACATCCGGGTCGGAACTAATGCACTGTGTGTTCAGTGGCATAATCAAGGAACCATTATTTTGTCTGAGTTACCGACGCACCGTTTACTTAAGGGCACCATTCTGTTATATCCGCGGCTTGTTGCATCCATTTCTCTTTGGCTGTCTAGTTTTTTGTGTATCCTCAATGTATTCGACAAGTCTCGTTGGGGAAAAGACTTATACTACACAGCACTTATTGGAAAAGTTGCAATTTAGGTAGGAATACATCTTCGGTAACCATTATGTTAGAAATTAAAGATCAGCCTACCAGTAGTTCAAATCTGCTCGTTTTAACACTGGCAGCGCTGTCCAAATTCTACAAAATCCATTGTCAGCAACCATCCCTCTACCGTGATGATCTCCGTTTATTCCATTCTGTTTCTGTCCACATTTTCCCGTCTAATAATATGTGAACGTAACTTTCACGCTATTCTCTCCCCCAAGCAACGTTTATGTTAACGCCTCAAATGAAGCAAAGGGATGTAGCCCCGGGACTACCTTCACCTGATGAGTTCCAGGAAGGTCGAAACTGGTTGTGAGTTGTGAAAGAGTTGCCAGTGGTCTAACGAGCAGATGTTATTTCGAGAAGATAAATTGCATTGTCTTCGATACCGTGCCAGTTGAAACGTGAGGTAGCCTTAGAGCACACAGTCAGTTGAAAAAAATATTAAAAAACTGAAGATTTATTTGTCCTGCTAAAGCTAATTCAATTAAGCCCACACATATGTATTACGCGTTTGATGTGTGGTTGCTTGATGATCGTACATAAGCAAAGCGGCGTTATAGCTAACTGCAGAGGTCGGAGACATGGCTATTTCTCACATCTTCAGGTAGAAGTTTGGTTTAGTGACTCAGTCTTTCGCCTTTATCAAACTTTACGAAAACTGAGTGTGGCTGTTTTACTCTTCCCCATAGCCCGTCTTCGGTGTGCCGCTAAATGTGGCGATTCAGCGTGATCCTAGTTTCGATGGAGTCCCGTTGCCAGCCTTCTTCCGACACTTTATTGATTACCTTGAAAAGTATGGGCTCAGCTCCGAGGGGATCTACCGCGTAAGTTGAATGATCACGAATAGTTGACCCGTTATATGCGAACATTCCCATATTTTCCGTATATTTCAAAGGTCCGTCTTTTCCAGCTACGGTTTTTTAACGTTTTCACCAAGGTACCACTTGCCAGGAAATTCCATCTCCATTTTATAGCTTAATCCAAGCCAGTGATGCAACAAGCAATGCAGTATGGATTTGGCGTCGCTAACCAGCCACGTGAGAGTTCTCTGAAAAGCTCTCCAACGCAGAGGATGCGTGTATTAACCGAGTTTCTGTTCGCTTCACCATGCACACCCGGTTATTTCATCTTTGTGGGCATTCCGTGCCATCAGTTTATCACTACAGAGAAACCGAACCGGTTTTCTCTGTAAAATCATGGGATAGGCATAGTTTTTACAAATAGTTTATGCTCTGTTTGTTTGCCCAGCAGTTGTTTCGTTTTTCGTCCTACCTGAGTGCTTAGATTTGCGTGGTTTTCTCCTCTCTTTAGCTGTAATCGCCCGTTTTGTTAAGCGCGAAAGGCTGTCGTTTCTTCCAGAGATAGAATGACAAACTTGACTGTAGTGTTCATAACGGCTTGTGACTGGTTTTATCACGTGAAGGGAATCACGAAAGCAAACGCCTTCAGCTTCTGTTCTTACAACGCTATTTGATTGATGGACGCACATAACAGGCGTAACTTCTGACCATCAGATCAGGTCACGCTAATTTGGTGAGAATTCCTTAGCAAACAGGCGTGAGGTACTTTGTGTCAGATGACTCTGGGTTTCGTTTCACATTTGGACGGTTTATGAATGATGGCTTGATTTAGGTTCTGTACTTGACTTAAGCTAGTAAAGGCGCGTTTAAAGCGGTGTTCATATAAACGCCGATCTTCACAAAGCTACACAATCACAGGTAGTCTGAGGAAAAATGTGTGAAACAAAACCGAGAGAAAATAATCCGAAATCTTAGTTTTGTGATTTAATAAAAGACCACTTACTCCTCACTGGTTCTATTTCTGTTCCGTGATTATGACCATTCTAGGCCAGGTTTAGTTGTTTTGTTTGGATCTCCATCCAGGAATTCGTGGTAGTGCTGGTGGGTGGGGGGAGGGCAACAGAAGGTGATATGGCTTCCAATTTATTCCATGGCTTTTCGCTTCCAATCCGACTCCATATTATCAAATAAAGTGCTCTCAACATTCTTGCACGCACCCTAGTCATTGCCGTTGCTGCCAATGTAAATCGCATTCAAAAGGGACGAATTTCGTACTCGATCAAAAAACATTCTTCGACAAACTGGTTTCTTGGTCACGATAAATAGCTGCTTGCAAGGATTCTCGAGTGTCATCCTCAACATAGCGTCAATATTTAGCACTGATGCCTCGATGGTGCTCGCTCATAATTTATTAGTAAGCTTTATTACGAAGAGAAAGTGAAGGTGGAAGGGGAAAATGTGTGCTGGTGGCCCAAAACAACTATTCCGAAGTGCCCAAACCTCCAGTTGCTCATCTAGACAGTCTGCATAGAAACAGACAACAAGAACACCATTGAGATGGAGTGTGTGCACATGACCAGGTGTGTTGGGTGTGTTCACCTGCTCTTGCAATAGTATCGTATGCTTTTAAAGTGCAACCACCTCTTCAAAATTACAGGTGGATTTTAGGGGGCATTAGATGGAGTATTGTAGAATGTGCATTTCGTCCCACAGTGAAGGTGAGGTTTCCGGTATCCCTAGATTTGTCGTTAAGTTTTCCCGCGATTTTCAACGATGGGATAGCGACTAGTTTGTAGTAGTCCCGGAGAACCTCGTTTGTGTTGTACGCAGTAGTTCGAAACCAAAACGGTCCACCACGCACGTTCTGAACGGACAGTGTCGCGATGAGTGAGCGACTACCATGAAGATTAACACAGCTCTTAGTCACTTAGACTACTGCTGCGCCAGTTTACTTTGGCCTAAAAGCTGCTACTGATTTTCACGCAACGCACTATTCAACAATATTTGCATCACTATCCCTTTTTCTCAGGTTCCTGGTGTAAACTCACAAATCCAAGCGCTTGTGGCTGCTCTCGACCGTGGTGAATCATTCCCTCAAGTCGCACCGACCTCTGCAGCCTTTTACCAGCAGCGGCAACAACACAGCGAGTGGCCACGTGTTCGCCCATCCCTCTCGGGCACACCTGGTTCCGAATCTAAAATCAGAGTCCAGTCGGTCTATGGAGGTTGGTTAAAACACTTTTTGAAGCTTCACGTACTTTTACAGTAAGAGTAACCAAACTACTACGAGGCTTTTTTCTGCCTAAGGCTCAGGGTCACTCAGATTTTTTTGTTTCCTTTCTATCTCACCACCTGCTATGCCATCGTGAAAGGTGATCTGAAAGCTTAAAGCTCACACTATAGCGTTACGTGGATGCATACTCTGACACGAAAGATGTTAGGTGTCGCTTGAGCTTGCCCAAGCGTGTACGTGCTTGATCGCTGCAAGTTTTTCGTTGCATCCTTGGTTGTGCCCCCCCGTTTGTTTGTTTTATCAATTACCCAGATAGTTTACCATGGGTTCAGGTTTTTGGTAGTCCTTTAAAAGTAGGATTTCTCTCGAAACTAGCTGGGTTTTACCGTTGGTTGAGCAAGACAACTGTATCGTAATGATGTCCCAATCTTCATCATACGGAAGACGACTGTATTAGTATTTGATAATAGTACCCAACCACCACACACTCAAAGAAATTGTTACAGTAGAGTGAAAATAAATATGAAAGGTGAAGATCTGTTCTCAGAAGCCTTGTGACCTCAGAATAAGGTGGAATAATAGCGTTAATGTAAGTAAATGTGAGTGTCGCGTTGAACTGAAACCACCCTCACATCCGTAGGAGCTTTATCGGACGCAAGTCCAGCGTAAAATAGGTAACTGCAGAACCGTGTTACTCGGGGAGTTTTGCCCCAAAAAGCGAGAAATCGCATGACCTAAATCGAATCAGACACTTACAACCAGGTATTTTAAGAGCCAAAGAGCAACGGATTCGTCTGAATTCGGGTGGCGTGACTCTGACAGTCTGCAACAAGTGTGTTCCTATAACATGACAATAATTTCCCTAGTGCACCTACCACACCTGCGACATCAAAACTAACTTCACCTATACGTTACAACACCATTAACTTTGTTGATCTGGCTGTTGACACTAAGATGGCGGTTGCACGTGACTTTTTTTAGTTACAGCAGCGCATGTGTCTCCAGAAGACAGCGTAAATAAATAAATAAATCGTCTAGATCTAACACCTGTTCAATGAACAGCCTCCGCGCTATCCGAAAGAAGCACGAGGTCCGAGGTGTTGTCAGGTTACCCAAACCTAAAGAGGAGCAGTCGAAATGCCTGGGTTGGGTTCAAACCACGGAACTTCCGGTCAGTAACCAGTGAGCCCTGTCGAGCTTTCCCTGTCTTGTCCTAGGATATCTGTGGGTTCAGATTCCACAAAAGAGATCGGTTGTAGTAAGCTGAATTAAGGGTAAGTGCTTAGTAGTGATATTTTCGACAGTGACGACGATCCTTGCTTTTAACACCTCGCTTCTTCGGAGTTCAGTCCAATTACAACCGGTTAAGAATGACCTTGATTATACTGCACTCTTAGTGATACACGTAGCAACGGTGACCAGTCAGTTGAGTCCGCCACTTCGGTGTCTCTTCGTGTGTCCACACATCAGTTGTTAATTTTTATTTCACGCCCCACATCTTTTGCTCTGTTAATCTGCGGTCTTAGATTCCTGGACTCCGATCCATTTTCACCACATCACCCACTACTTTCTGGGTTTCTCAGGTCCCTCCAAATCCAAAGGATTTGCCAACTCCCCATTGAAGCTTCGTCTTACGGGTGAAAAACAAAGGACGGGCACTGCCGTTGGCTTCTCAATTTCAGAAATTCCTCATGACTTGCCGGTTATCGCGAGCGTAGTGAAACACTTCTTACGCAGCCTCCCAGAACCGGTTATGACGTCCGCGTTGCTACCAGTGGTGGAATCGCTACCACCAGAGGTGCCTCAAATCTATTACACGCTGGCCGAGCTAGTACACAAAGAACTGCCGCGACCAAACCGATTCCTTCTAGCCTGGTTGTTGCAACACATGACTCATATTATCGATCGTGCCGGAGAGAACCTGATGACTTTGGCCAATATCAGTATCGTCTTATCGCCCTCGCTACAAATTAGCCACCGCTTATTGGCTATTTTACTTACTCCACCGCCACCCGGTAGGTTTGAATACGTATGCCTGTTATAACGAGCGGTTCGTTTTGGTAGCTGCAGCTTTTTTTTATATCCTTTACCCACTAGACGAAAACCCCGGAGCAACAAGCGAGCGTGTGACTCAGAACGCGCGAAGCATATTTTCCAGCATAAATTTTCGGTTCGGCCCCAGATGACGACCAGTTGCCACCAGAAATGGTTAAAGCATTTGCTTGCACTAACCTTTACACACGATCTCTTAAGGTCTCCGACCATTGGAACTGAGTTGAGCCTGGCTACCCTCTAAAGCGTTTCCAGTTTTGGCCAGGATAACTATCGATAAGCCCAGCCTGCCAGTGCTTCGCGCAATTAATTGCATTGTACCCATGTTATTGGGGCGCTCGCTTTTGGGAAACTTCCTTTATGAAGTTCATTAGTAAGCAGTGAGCATAACAAGCGGAGCTCAGCTTTGCGTTTGAACAACGTGGCTCGCCATAGTTAGAGAGGAGTTGATTTCCGTTCCAATCAGTGTTCGAATTTCCTAGTTTCCCAAAAGCGTAAAATGTGTCTGAAGAAAGATAGGATAAGATCACCTAAGTATTCCGGTCTTTTTTGCCGGGTAGTTTTTTTGCCCATCAGTCTGATGGTGGATTTCCCCTGACCAGAGTTGTGGACAGAGTTGTCTTTTTAGTAGATTAGTTGACCGCCGTATTTAAGAGCCTCGTGTATCCTCGATATTGTTCTAGACATTTACTAATTTGACAGTAAGTTTTTGGGCTATCATCATCAGCTTTAAGAATCGCATACCTGTCGTACAGTGGTTGTAGCTGCTGCAGTTTCGTTCATCGTTTGGGGAGATAGGATAAGATCACCTAAGTATTCCGGTCTTTTTTGCCGGGTAGTTTTTTTGCCCATCAGTCTGATGGTGGATTTCCCCTGACCAGAGTTGTGGACAGAGTTGTCTTTTTAGTAGATTAGTTGACCGCCGTATTTAAGAGCCTCGTGTATCCTCGATATTGTTCTAGACATTTACTAATTTGACAGTAAGTTTTTGGGCTATCATCATCAGCTTTAAGAATCGCATACCTGTCGTACAGTGGTTGTAGCTGCTGCAGTTTCGTTCACCGATCGTTTGGGGAGATAGCTGCGCATTGGAGGCGATTGTATGCGTCTAACATCGCCACCTATCAGACTCGGTCTCCTTGCAAGTTTTTTTTCGAATCAATGTGGATTTTTATGTTTAAGTGAAAATTTGGCCTACTCGAAGACCATGCTGTTGTAATTCTACAAAGTACACCCAATCACACTAAAGAGCTGTTGAAATACACATTAGTTACCTAATTCCTCATTTCAGATGTGCGAATCGATTTGGCTCGGTTAGATCCCGATCTACCCGCAGTGGACATAACCGAAGTTGGTGTTGATCCGAGCATGTGGCACTGGCTGTTTCCGCATCCAGTCTACTTACTGCGACCGTACCGGCCACCACTCACTCCCGGTCCTGATTTGGATTTACCAGAAACAGATGCAGAACTGGATGAAGAGTTGAAGAAGCAGGAGCTACTTTTACAGCACTTGCATGAACAGATCGGTCGTGGTGAGGCAACGAATGAGAAGGAAGCTCAACTTTGGGAGGTGAGTTTACTTGCCGTTCGCAGTTATTCGAATTTAAATGCGATCGGTCACTTTGTGTTCATCTCCCTGGCAAGGTACTATCTATCCATGGGTTCCTTGATTAGAGGACCCTGAAACTGACAGACTTGTGTCTGTGCCATGTATTAACGATTTGAACGGATGGTAAAATATCCAAACTCAGATGTTTTGTAGTTTTTCCTTCGGCAGAACCCCACGCAAACCTCAACTGTTCCTTTCTTTTTAGGTTCAACGTCTGGTTACCGAACTCCGTCGACGAAAGGCCTTTTCCGACCCGTTATTTGTGGTGCCGAGCTTTCTTTTTAGGTTCAACGTCTGGTTACCGAACTCCGTCGACGAAAGGCCTTTTCCGACCCCGAAGTTATCCGTGCCGAGCTGAGCCGACAACAAGCCCAATTGGATCGACTGCATGAAGTTATCGCTGCTGAACAGGCACGTCCTTCGCTGGACTCTCCTATATGGACATCTGTGAATCTCCATCCCTCACACCGGGTATCACACAGCGATATCAATGGACAAAAACGGCGGTAAGTTTTCCCTCTACAAGCTACGCCTGGTCTTAGGCTATTCCCATTCACCTACTTATAATTATCATGGTCAGTGACCGGTGCTTCCTCAGGAATCAGACCAAACAGATCTCTGTTCTATTTTCAAAGCCCTTCCCCCCTCATAAGCAACAGATCACCTACGTACTGACTAACTTCAGTTAGCGAACCAGTGGATGTGCTGACGTGCATGACTAATGTTCAGCCAGTGTCACTCATCATGAGGATGTCACGTTGTCCCGCTCAGAGAACAGACCAGCGGCTATTGTACCACTCCGAATTGCCTGTCCTCATCGCTGGCGGTGTTAGCTTTTGAGAGCAGCACCTTCTTAGAACTCACGTGCACACCTGTCAACAACAGATACCTGTGTTTCGGGTGTGTAACTAATCGAAAAGCTCAGAGATTTGGGTGTCCTTCATCGCAGCGACATCTAAACGTTGTGGACAGCACGAAGCTTTCGAAGTAATATCATGCGGATTTTTTGTGCCCGCATCCTAATGGCACATTTCTGCCATCCAATCAAAGTGTTCTATGCTTTCATCAGACACCTGATGGAGTGAACACAGAACACAGTGAAATGTTTGCCTAGAAATTCAGCTTGCCCATATGGCTGGCGGATAGCAAATGTAATGGCCGACTAAGCCTTGTTCCACCCGGTCGTTTCCGAGCTCAAACTCCAGCCTTCATTTGATTTTACTCTATCCATGTTATAAATGAGAAAAAAAGCCCCCTTCCAAGTGTTAAGGCAACTGCCTTGCTGTTTGTAAGCGCTGTTGGGGGCGGCGTTTCTACTCTCCTGTGGCTGGTGTCGCTCGTCGTCTGTGTAGGAGAGAGCACCATCAGATAATTTATAGCCCCGTTCAACTTCATTCATGCATTTCTCCAGCTAAACCATTACCTTAACTTTGAACAAGTGTCTGATGTGCTTCGAGTAGGATGTCCGATGTAGTGTGATTCGGATAATCCAATTCAGTGGGCGTAAGTTATGAAAGTACACACCCAGAACCGGAAGGGATATGTGTGGGACCAGTGACATGCTGCCCTGACGTTCTTCTCACAAATCCCAGCGTGTTTGGTTTGTGAGTTTCTGCAAGACCATCCCACACTTCACATAGCTTGACGTTGTTAAATATTTGTCAGTGTAGGTCAGCTTTAGTGTTAAACAGTGACTTTCTGCATCTTCTTACGAAGCTGACTGATGGTAGGGGATCTACGTCCATTTCAACTCCCTGAACAATTGTTTTACTTCCTCTAGCCATCTCCCTTGTAGCAGACTCCTCAATAATACGGTCGCAACAGACAAGCGTTCGTACTGTTACCTATCAGTGTTATCACACTGACCTGCAACTACCTTGTTTATGCGACCGAATTCGTAAGCTTCTTTTCAGGTTACAGGGAAATGGGGAATTTTATGGATGCTCCTAGGGGGGGGGGCAAATTAAATACTGTTTCCTAGAGAACGATCGTCGAATATCGTATGCCTCGTGAGGCCACGTATGCTCTAGAAAGATGGGGTCAGTGCAATACAAGCAAAATACAGCGTACCTATTTCTGTGGTGACCGGTCTCCGTATGACCCCTTGTGATCAGTTGCAAGCTCAAGGCTAAGTTTCCGCCATTCTTCTGGTTTCACCAGCTAGAACACATTTATCCCTTAGACAATAGCTTTTTCTCTGAAGTTATTGTGTATGCGTTAATGCTGTATTGGCATAGGGTTCATTTCACGAAAAACCGACCATTTTTGACACTCTCTGATGTGGAAACACTGTTGGCATACAGTATTGTCGCTAATGTATGTAAAGGGGTTTTACTGACCAATTAGATCTTGTCACACGACGAAAGCCGCACTGAATGGTGAAATCTACGAACCGTCGGAAGCTGAAATCAGAAAATCTTAAGCTCGTTGGCGGTAATTTGCGAGAGAGTAATAATACTTGTGGAGAATTTTTCCGTCCAGACAGGCCACCAGCTAAATCTTCACCTTATCAAGTTCAGGTTGCACGTCGGAAAACACGTGGCTCCCCTCAACAAATCATGGCTGGTGAACCTTTTATGGATTTTTTAAAACTTATTTTTATGCTAACGTTCACCTGAATGAACGATACATAGCTTCGATCCATTGACATTATTCTGGTTATTCTCTCTTCTTCTTAGTCATCCGTTTACCCATTTCTCCTCATCCTGTTCCATCTCGCTCTCCCCTTAGTGATGTATCGTCGGCTAAAGCTAGCAAACACCGTTCGGACCCGGCGAGTTCCTATTCAGATGAACTGTGGGAAGTTCAGCGCCAGGTGACCATGCTCAAACGACGTCTGAAGCAGCAAGAAAAACTGGTTGGGCAACAAACCGTGAGCACCGGGCCCGCCTCGGACGCTGCCACTGCTGTTCCTACAACTACCAGTACATAATGTCGGTCGGGATCGAACTTGTAATCACAAACCGTGAGCACCGGGCCCGCCTCGGACGCTGCCACTGCTGTTCCTACAACTACCAGTACAATCGTAATGTCGGGATCGATTCCACTTGTAATCCCGACGGTTTCGGAGCTGGATGAAGAAGAAGTGCTCAATCTCACACTTCGGTGAGCCCACAGTTCATTTCTGTTTATGGTACACACTATGCGTCGTATACCGCACACCATGCACACGGTGTGCACTGTACAGTCTCGGAAAAATTCACCATGTATTTCGTATGTGGAGAATTAAATTCCCACTGTGTCATGGGACAGGAGTCCCCAAACATCGACCAGCGGCCGGATCCGGTTTAAAGTATGGCCGAACATCTAACATCCTCTACGGTAAGCGGATGGCATAGACACGCTTTGTTTCAATGCCATCTGAACTTGCACTACAATTCCAGTGTCTCTCACACAAGAGTCAGTTTCACACTTTTTGTCTTGGCACTTGTAAATGCGTCATGACAACCAACGGGTGGCCAAGGCACGTTGCGTTTCCGAAGGTGATTGTCTTTTCGTTGTAGGAATCAACTATTAAAACTGTGAGTGATGTGAGTACAAATATCAACTTGTTGTGCATTGCTTTACCCTCGTCATTGGTTGGTCCGTATTGGCAGTGCGATATGCTTTAACGAGTACTACGGTATGTGTAGGCTGTTTAATTGTATATCCTTGTAAAGTTATGCCCAATTGAGAAAGGTTTCTTTGCATAATAGGACGGTTTGTCGCCATTGCTTATGGCATCAGTCGCTTAACCTGAGAATCCAACGAAAATATGGCTCATTCGCGTGTGGTGTTTCGAGTTTACTAGTAGGCAATAAATCCTCCGTCTGGAAGACCACGAAGCCTCTTCGAGGTGTGGGGCGTTTGATCGAATAATGAACATATCTAGTGTGAGGAAAGGTCGACAACGAGCGCTATGTGAAAAGGCTTCGATAAGTCTCCGTTGTGAAAGGGTTCGTTTCTGAAACAAACCTCACTAGGTCCAGTGCGTCCGTTTGAAACTTTTCGACCTTGGTTTTGTTGTCTCTCATTTACTGTCAAATTTCACTTTGGCGGCTTAGCTGTGCAACGGTATCGTGAAATTCAAGCTTAAATCGAAACGCTGTCGTGTTTATGAATATCACTGCTTGCTCACTTGATGTGTATACTGATTTGCAGCTGGTATTTATCACTCGAATGCACTAAGACTTTTCTACAGTGGTTTTTGACAAGACCGGTGGTTAGTGCGAGCTCAGCAATTCCATTGGTTTTAGTGACATCTGTCCTGTAAGTTTAGGGCGGTAGATCTTTAAATGGTGATGTGGTGGCCGGTCTAAATTTTGTTCCACTTCGCAGCCACGAACGAGGTATATGGATACGACTTTTCCGCACTCCACTGTCTAACCACCCCAAAAAAGAAAGACCATATTTAGACACTTTTGAAGACGAAACGAGACCGAATTTGGACGAAGTTGACCGATTGCATGCAAGAACACTGGACCCGGGAAGTGGTGTGCTCATCATCATCCTTATCAGCTGTAAGAACCGCGCACTTGTCGTACAGTGGTTGTAGCCGCCACAATATCGTCCATTGATGGTTTGGGAAGGTAAGGCAGGTAGCTGTGCATTGGAGGCGGGAGCTGATAAATTAGTGCGTAAATACAGCATTGTCAGTGGACTTTCAAGTGGGGTAGGTTGGTAAGGGCGCTATAAATTGAAGGCAATAGCGTGGACGCTTGAGCGTCATTGAGGACCCGACTGGACCATGTCTGACAATGTCTCTAACCATCAATGTGACCCGTCTCGGGAATAAATAACGCAGCTGAGTTTTCTGGTAAAGGATTCATATTTCGCTGCCAAGTCATTGTTTGACCTCTCCTGGCTCGTTTCCACCCTTCTCGCGGTTCTGGTCCGTTGAACTACAGGCTGATGCCTGGAGTTGTGTTTTATGCCTTTTCGCTACACCATAGCTTACCCAATTGCTGTTTTCTTCCACCCAAATCATGATAGGGTAAGGTCTGCCTAGCTTGACGATTTCCGAATTCGTGTAGCCGATGTAGTTCTGCCAATCTGTCGGCACCATGCAACCTATTTCGGTCTCGGAAATACGGTTTTTCGAACACAGACGTCGATGTTGAAATTCTGAAAAGCGTCAACACTTACTGCCTGGAAAATGGGAACGTCGATTTAATGGGAGCGGCCTAAACGGGCCTCTTCCTCTGTACAATCGGACTCTATTTTCCAGTTTTCCTGCAAAGCTATGATCGTTGGCTTGTTCGCTAGGCTGGATGGAAAATGGGAACGTCGATTTAATGGGAGCAGTCTAAACGGGCCTCTTCCACTGTACAATCGGACTCTATTTTCCAGTTGTCCTGCAAAGCTATGATCTTTGGCTTGTTCGCTAAGCTGGACAGTTTGATTGCCCAACCACCAACCCATCGNTCCTGCAAAGCTATGATCGTTGGCTTGTTTGCTAAGCTGGACAGTTTGATTGCCCAACCAGCAACCCATCGCTGCACACCACCACGCTCCATAACAACGCACTGATGATGTCACCTCGATTGGTGATGAAACGTTTGCTACCTGAGCTATCAACATTTTGCTACATAGAAAACAGCAAAACTATGTCAGAAGACCGATTCACGACGAGGAACGTTTGGAGACCGCTGCCGAACCATATACTTCTGAGGTAAATATCTCCAAATAGGACGGAATTTTAACGGGAAGAAGTGCAATGTGGCATTACTTCAAGCCTAAAGAAGTACACAGCCAACGTTGATATGTTAATGATAAACGAGTATACGCTACTGGTACTCCTGTTATATTGATTGACGGACTACAGCTTGACTGCGTGCTTTCAGACTGATATAATTCCACCTGATGATATGCATCGACATCAAGCGCTTGTGTCATGCTCCACCGCCGGCCGATTGTGACCGATCTGCTGCGCACACGCATCCAGTGAGCACAAGAACGAAGGGTATGCAAGTGGAATAGGCGTCCCCCACCCTCTCATAATGGCCATAGTTTCACGGTACATAATTGATTGGCTTACCAATTTATGTGTCCTTTTTGTGGTGCTACATTTAATCAACACCAGGCGGCTCCACTCGTAATTTCACACCTGTTGTGCTGGATATATCGACTTGTTGAGCATCACGTCCATTTGTGCCTGTCCATGAAGACGGGAATCTGATCAAAACCAAAGTGGCACAGCAATCAAAGCGGATTTAGTGTTGCTGAA